ATGGCATTAGAATTAAAGTGCCTGCAAGCAGGTACAAGGGCCAGTATTTGATCCCGGGCCTGCTGTGCCAGCCCCGTCCCCAGGGCACCCTGAGACAGTGATTGAGACTGGGCGTGGTGGCATGCAGCTGTAATCCCAGCACTTGGGAGGCTGTAAACAGGCAGATCACTACAAGTCCAATCTAGTAGTGAGACCCTGAACACCCTGTAGGCCCTTCCCTAAAAACACACACACAAAAAAATGGCTTTAGACGTTTATTTAGATAATTCCAACTTAGTTGCACTGATGCTCTGAAAAGAAATTTTATTTGCAGTTAAATAATATAAGAAGATTATGTTAGATGTGCATCTCAAGCCTTGTCATCTGAATTAAATGGTCATAGCTTGAAGAAAAAAAAAGCCATGTATAACAAGCCAACAGACAACATCAGATTAAATTTTAAAGAACTCAAAGATCTGACACTAAAATCACAAACAAGGCAAATATTTATACATCAACACTCCTATCAAATATAATTCTGGAAACATAAGCCATAGTAATTACATGGAGAAAGAATTAAAGGAATAAAAACAGGAAAGGAGGAACTTAAATCACCATTATGTGTAGATGATATATGTTACATAGAAGACATCCACCAAAATATTTGTAGATTTAATAACCCAAATAAGCAGCATACCTGAATACAACATAAAGTCTCAAAAATTAATCGCATTCCTGTATGCAAGCAACAAACACATTAAGAAAAATATTGAGGAAACAATACTTTTCACAATGGCATAAAAAATGAAGTACTTAGGAATCAGTGTAATAATGTAAAAGATCTATACATTGAAAATCACAGTACTCTGAAAAGGAAATTGAAGAGGATATCAGAAAATGAAAGACATCCCCTGCTCATAAGTAAGAAGCATCAACATGGTGAAGAAGTCCATGCTTACCAATTTCATATACTAATTTAATGCAATTTCAATCAAAATACCATTAACATACTTCACAGAATTAGATAAAATATAGAGGCAAGGCGGGGGTGGGGGGTATCACAATTTCTGAATGGAAAGTATACTACAGAACTAATGTGGAAAAAATGGTACTAGAAAAAAACTCTTAACCATCAGTGGAACAGATTAAAAGATGCAGAAACAAATCTGAACACATTTAGCCACCTTATCTTGGATAAAGAGGAAAAATGCATTGACTGGAAAAAAAAAAGATATCTCTTTAATACATTTCCTGGAAAAACTGGCTCTCTACATCCAAAGACTGAGATTAGACCCACATCTATCATCATGCACTAAAATTAATATAGATCAAAGACGCAAATATTAATACAGAAACACTAAATCTGTTGAAAGACAGAATAAATAGAACTAGTGAAGTCATATGTGTAGGCAAAGATTTCATGAACAAAATCTCAATTGTTGAAAAACTACTACAAAGAATTAACAACTGGGATGTCATCCTATTAAAAAGCTTTTGTTCAACAAAAGAAATTACCAACAGAATGAAAAGATAACCAACAGAGTGGAAAAAAAATTTAGCCAATTGTCCCTCAGGCAAAGAAATACTATCTAAAACACATAATGAATTGAAAAAAAATAGACCTCAAAAATTTAAAGACCCAGTTCAAAAATTTACTTGATATAAATCTAAATTTATCAGGTGAAGAAACACAAACAACAAATAAATATATGAGAAAACATTCCACATCACTGGTCACTCAAGAGATGCAAATTACAACAACACTGAGATTCCACTCAAGAAAGATTTGCCAATTACGAACATGCTCGATGGGCTTTGGGGAGAAAAGAACTCATTCCACTGTTGGAGGGAGTGTAGATCTGCACAACCACCATGGAAATCAGTGTGAAGTTTCCCAAAAATACTAGGATTAGACCTAATTGCATTTGACCTAATTAGTGTACATCCTGGAATCTTACTGAAAGAATTAAGGGAATCAAATCACAGCAATGTAAACACATGCCTGTTTACAGCAGAACACTTTGTAATAGCTAAATATATTGAAAACAACTAAAATGCCATTTAACTGAAATATTGATTAGAAATGTGTAGGTTTTTTACATAATGGAAAACTACTCAGCCATAATCAAAAGTAAACTTGAGACATTTCTAGGTATTTTTTGATATTTTAATTTTAATTTATAAAGAAAGTACAATAGTATTAAAACAAAAATTACAAGTGATACAGAATTTCACTTGACACAGTAATATGAATTTCACAGTATTTGTTTTACTGCAATGTTGTCTTCCAATCAGTTACTTATATTAATATATATATATATATATATATCTCGAAGAAAGAATATATAAAAAATTAAGGGGAGCAAAAAGGAGGAAACAATTGAGAAAACGAGAACCTGAAAGAGAAAATGGAATCTGAAAGGTACAATAGATACTGGAAAAAAGAAATGACATTATTCAAAAGGAAAGAGTTGCTGAATTGGGGGGAAGGACAGTAGGGGGAGTGGCAGAGAGATATATTTGCGTATATAAACAGGATGGTTTAGACAACTCTGCTATCGATTTCTCCTGGTCTAAGGAGCAGATAATGCTTAATTTTTTTTGTTTTGTTTTTTTTCTCCTTTTTTAAATTGGATGAGCTGGGACATGTACTCTACATTAAAGGAGATATGGAAGTCATGCATGAGTCCCACAGCGTGGGCTTCCTCTTACCAATCTAAACTACCTACAGCTACTGCTTTACCTTTTCATCAACACATTCTTTATTAGATTTTCTTTTCTTCTTATATAATTTCCTTTATTGACTCACTTATGCTTTTCCAGATCTCAATCTAAATATACAACATTTAGTTAAAGGTCATACCCTAAGGTAAAGACATAAGTGTTAAGATTAAACATTTATGGGCTTGGTTGTGATGGTATATCTGCATGAAATTATCACAGATATACTTATATACACTATCAGTAAAAATATACATTACTCGCTTGGTGATTATGTGGTTAAGATGGGTAATTTCTTACACTACGATTTTTGGTAAGGGATAAAAAATAATTAGTATTATTAAGGAAAACATGTTCTAGGAAATGAATATAGATTAACTGAGTTAGTAGTTAACTCAAGACAATATCTACTCTCACAAAGGTATATTCTAAAGGGCATTTCAGTCCTTAATTGAGGTAAAAGAATCAAAATATTCTCTAGGCCTCAAGTACATCCAAGAAAAGATATACCACAATAAGGGAAGAAGAGAAGAAAGAAGAAAGGATAGGAAAGGAAGGAAGGAAAGAAAAAAAGAGAGAAAGAAAGAAAAATGAAAAGAAAAGGAAGGGAAGAGGCAAAAAAGGCCTTGAGATAATTATGTATGCAACATTAGCACTTACTAGAAAGACAACATTATAATACTGAGTTACGGGTTGGTTGTGTCCCCTAAAAATTCATATGTTAAAATCATAACCCCTGTGCTGGGGAGATGGCTCAGTAGAATAAGTGTTTGCCTGGCAAGCACAAGGGCCTCAGTTCAATCCCCGGTTCTGCAAAAAAAAAAAAAAAATTAAAATAAAATCATAGCCCCAAGAACCTTAAAATGTGACTTTACTTGGGAAAATTTTTTATATATTTAATCAAGTTAAAGTAAAAACTTCTAGCAGATCATAAACTAGTGTAACTAATCTATCTATAAGAAAAGCTATTTGGAGACACACAAAGAGAACAACATATGAAGGTGAAGGCAGAGATTGGAGGATGTTACTTCTAATCAAGGAATACCAAATACTTTAAATAGGATATCATGTCTGCATCTTGTACAGCAATTAACCACTAGGAAGAACGTATGCAATGTGTTAATTATTGAAAATGTCCTACCAATTTGATTTGAAACTGTCTCATTGCTATCTGTTTATCAATAAAATTATGGAAAAAAAAACAAAAGAAGATAAGGAAGAATGATGGGACATGTTTTTCCACACAACACTCAGAAGGAAGCAGCCCCATTGGTAACTTAATCTCAGACTTTTGGCTTCTAGGACAATGAAATAATAATCATCAGTTGTTTAGTCCACACACTTTATAATACCTTGTTATACTTTCCGTATCAAACCAACAACACAGTGTAGAATAACTAGAGAACAAAATATTGCATAAACAAAAGCTTGGGAGGTAGGTTAGTAGTGGACCAATGTTCAGCACACCATGGTACTGGGATCAATTCCCAGCATCCTTAAACAGTGAAAAAAATAAAAATAAACCCACTGTAAAATATATTTCCATCTATTTGGCATGAATAACTGATTTAAATAACACATTTTATGGATCATAGAACTTTTATAAAAACTTACACTAGAATATCTGTTCAGTCAGGCACATGTATATGGAGACATACATGCATGCACATGCATTTTCATAGATGTTCTTCAAAATTAAGTGATATTAATGATTAATGACAAGACAACAGCATGCTTACATTTTTCATTAATATTTTCAACACATGCTGGGGACCTTATTTGCAACCAGAATACGTAGCTCACAACATAAAAATTTTCAAGAATAAACTCAAACTGGATGGGAATATATAGTCTTAATCTCTCTGTACAAAATATCCATAATATGTATCAATTATGAGGCAGTATTACTCTTTGGTCTTTTTTATATTCAACTGAATCTCTTATCTACACAAGAAAGAAATTTCTTTGTGTAGTCAAGAAATTTCCTTTCTCAGACTAAGTTTTGTAAGCATGTCATGCAAAGTCAGGTATATAGTATACATTAAATAACAATTTATAAATATTGAAATCATTCCATTTTTATTCCAAAAGAATATCATCAATTATATTTTAATTATTTATAGCAATAAAACTGTACATTTTGAAGTTAATTCCTTCAGAATGAACTTTTTCCCAAAAACTTATTCCATTATGATAAAATATTAAGTAGACTGAATCACATTGAATTGTTAAGTAAAAAATGAATTCTGAAAAAAGCCTTGCCAGGCAAATTCAAAGGCCAAGTTCTATAATACACTTACCACTTTCAAAGCAAGCATCAAAAATAAGATGTCCTTTCTTGGGCTGTCCACAGTAACCAGCTGGAAGCACCATATACTTGCTGACATTTCCTCCAATAATATCATCATTTCCCGTATTGTTGCCTATTTAAAAAAAAACACTCATATTAAATTCATTCCAAACAGAAGTCAGAGCTTGCTTAGAAGTCCAATAAGATTTATAACAACTTATTTTTCTTCCCATGAATTGAGTAGGCAAAAGTGTCAAGGGAAAAGCAAACTTACTAAATATTGTAGTACAAAAGAAAAAGGATACGTTTTGAAATCGGAAAGATATGGGCTGAAACATCACCTTTAATTCAAATAACTTCTCTGTGAGCCAAAGAAATCAACTTAAAACTCTTCGAGGGCCGGGGAGATGGCTCCATAGAATAAGTGCTTCCATGGCAAGTGCAAGGGCCTGAGTTCAATCCCCCGGTTCCGCAAAAAAAAAAAAAAAAAAAACACCTCTTCGAACTCCATAAGAGAAAAAGAAAAACCCAGGTTTCAGAGTTGTGATAGAAGAATTCAATTTTTATTAAGTTTATTCCTACAATTCAGATATATAGATAGATAGATAGATAGATAGATAGATAGCTAATATTCATCATAGATTGTAATTCTATATAAGTTGATTCCTTTGTTTCCCAATCCTCTCCCTTCAATTCAATACCTATTCTCCCTCCTCACTGACAAAGTTATATTTCTATTTCATTCTTATGTTATAGTTTCCTTTCTTTCTTCTTCCTTCCTTAACCCCTCCCTAGTTTCTCTTTCTTTCAAACAATTTCTAATTCACAATGTCTGTTGTACAATTTTGTCTTAATGTACTCTTTCAAGTTCTCATAGCAGAGAGAAAATGTGATATTTATACATGTGTCTAATATATTTCACTAAAGAGTCTTGAGTTCAACCCCTAGTAGAAACAAACAAACAAAACAAGCAATAAAATAATCTGACATCAAAGGAATGTAAGGCTCCGCCACAAAGAAGATGCAACACTAACTGTTCTACAGCAAAGAAAAGTAAAAGCAGCAGCAGCAGCAGCAGCAGCAGCAGCAGCAGCAGCAGCAGAAGAAGAAGAAGAACAAAAAGAAGAAGAAGAAGAAGAAGAAGAAGAAGAAGAAGAAGAAGAAGAAGAAGAAGAAGAAGAAGAAGCAGCAGCAGCAGCAGCAGCAGCAGCAGCAGCAGCAGCAGCAGCAGCAGAAGAAGAAGAAGAAGAAGAAGAAGAAGAAGAAG